CAACATCAAGTTTGCTCTTATGGTCTTCATCAATTTCATTAGCCTATAACATTGGTTCCTAAATCCTTTATAGCTAGAGGGTCACATTCCATCCCCTACCATTTCAATCCATCATTTTATATTGTTTTAAAAATACCATTCAAATTCTACAAGGAGACATGCATTGAAGGCTTTTTTAGTCTTACCAATTAAGACATTCAAAAAGGATAATTACATGAATATTGTAAAGGAATATCAAATGACACTCTCCCTTGGATGCATATGATGTCTACATACATCAAGGTGTCTAAATCCATCCCCCGCTCTTTTATAAGAAAGAAAGACATGGAAGTTCAGGAGTCTTTCACCCTTTGGATGAAAATGAGTCTGCATTTAGCCTAAAATATGTTGAAATTCATCCCAATTACTCTAGAATATTCAGCCACTAAAGGAGAAGAGAAGAAATAATACATTAATGAGAATTCATCATCATTAAGATAAAGCATTCATCTCCTTTGTGTGACTCTTCAAATTTAACCTACGAACACTATAAATAGGCATTTTCTTTTTCATTGTAAACACAACTTTGATATAAAAATCCTCTTTGAGAGTTGCTTTCTTTTTTCTTCTTTTGAAGAAATTTATCGACATCAAGTTTGTACTTATGGTCTTCATTCATTTCATTAGCTTATAACATTGGTTCCTAACTTCTTTATACCTAAAGGGTCACATTCCATCCCCTACCATTTCAATCCATCATTTTATATTGTTGGTTCCTAGCTTCATACAGCTAGTGGATCACAATCCATCATCTACCCTTTCCATACATCCCACGCCTACATCACATAGATCATTCATTATATTCCTTCTATTTCATAAAGCTACATTATCCATCACCTTCCACACTTATCCTAATCACAATAATCATCCTACCATTATTTCTTTATCATCATATTTATATTTATGTTTTATTTTTTTATCTTATCAAGTTTCATTTTAGAATACAAGTTACGAATTCAACGCTTACTAGAATCACGATCGGGAAAACTTCATATATGATTCGGATATCACAACTAAATTCATATCATTAACGATTATAATGTCGGGCTTTGTAAGCTCAGTATTCAGATGTTTTCATTTGTAGTTTATTAGCTTGAGTCATTCATGGATCACTATCGTAACATGACTTCCAGCATCACGTCCAGAGTACTATACTGTAGCTTTAGTTGGTATGTGTATTCAAATGACCCTTATTATTGTATTAAGGTTTTATAACATTAAGTTGCATTATTTTGATTTTAAACTGTCACAAAGCTCTAATTTATAAGAGATTTTATAACTATTATGTATGTCTAATTTGGTACCATTCAACATGTTTTAAAATGAAAATGAACAGCTTTTGAAATCAAGGGTTGCCTCAATATCCCTATGTGGAACTTTATGCCTAATCGGGTTTAGGGTGTTATAACTCCAATCTTCCATCTCACTAGGTGGAGTAGAGTGACCCTTTATGATAGAGATCCAAGCTCTTAGATCTTTTTCTTGAATTAAAAACATCATCCTATTCTTCCAATACACATAATTTACTTAATTGAAATATGGCAGCTTGTTGATTGGTTGACAATCTTCAATGTAGTAAGAGCTAGAGGTTGAAACCATCTTTATCGGTTGGTTGTAAAAGTTGATAGAGTTCTCCAAGGACCTTTTCAAGGTTGTTAAACTGTCGATAGAGACTCTTTTTGATACCAATTGTTATCTCTTACGAATAATTGAAATATGCCAAGTAGAATGTAAATTGACCTTTTAAAAATTATGTGGAAGCAACCGAAAAATAGAAAGGTTTGCACAACAATTTATAGTGGTTCGACTTCTAAACCAAGTTTGCATCCACTACCTTAGCATTAACACTAAGGATTTATCAATTTAACTAGATTTGATAACCTTTTATGACAAGGTGTAACCTTACAACAACATACAAGGTTTATACCCCAGAACCTTGCTTACACTCTCTCTACAAGAAGAATTACAAATAAAGCAAGCAATTGAGAAAACATCATAATGGAACAATTTAAATACTCACAAATCACACTTAAGAAAAATAAACAATGTAGCTCACAAGTGTGTTACAATGAAATTATTGAAAAATAAAGCACAAAAGACTTCTTTAATTTTGGTATATTTGTTAAATATGGTTCTTGTTAACCTTGGGATACTTTGACCTTCAATTTATACCTTCTCCATCAATTATGGCTATTTGGAGTCGTTGGGGATCAATATAGTCGTTACCTACAACCAAAAACAACATTTAATGCTCAAGAGATCGATCTTTTTATGAAAGGATCGATCCATTTTCAAATAAATTTGATCGTTACAAGAAAGGGATCGATCATTTTCATCGACGGATCAATCCAAAACTTACTGGAATCCAAGGGATCATTCGTTTTTCAAGGGAATTGATCATTTGGTCAAAGGGATCGATCCTTTGAGCAAAAAATACTTGGGAACTCTACTTTAAAGTGCAAAATGATCGAGTATTTTTTGATAAGGTTCGACGAAATTGGAAAACATTTAAAACATATTTTTCAAGTTAATTTGGACTTTAAATTATTTTTGATAAATTTTTAACAAATTTGATTAAATCTAAAAATCAATTTTGTTATTTATTGTTGCATCAAAATCTTAATTCGACATCTCCAGTAACAGTCTTAAATTATTTTGTTTTTTGAAGTCTTGATTCGATACCTAATCGCCCAATAACACGTGGTGCCTAAATTCGTTGGCATTATACCTATACAGATAATGGTAACTCTGATAGCTAGCCATCTTTCATCTCCAATCACGAAAAAACACAAGGTTAAGTATACCGTTGAGACAAGGACACAAGCTAACCACATTAACTTGTTGATAACAACCATCATATGCTTCTTCACCTTGCTTTCAATGACTAAAATCGAGGTTTGAACTACCACAACTGTCAGGGAAATGAAGAGGGAAATAGAAGATGAAGAGTATTAAAAAGTTGGATTTTCAGTTTATATTTGCTTCTCCAAGGAAGAATTCAGGAGGAACGTCTTTTGCATTGTCCATAAACTGGCTGCGGATTTAAAAGATGGCAGCAAAGGCAACTGTGGCGATTAAGACCAAATGAATTAACTATTATAGCTTGAAAATCCTCACTTGCATGTTCAAGAAGCCATATGTTACTGACATTTGTCGCGACATTACTTTCATTTTTAGAAGCATAAATAACCCCAAGATTCCTTTGTTTCCTCAATCTGATTCTATCAATTTGAGCATAGCACCATAGTTGTTGGAGGACCGAAAAAGGACGAGTGAATTTGATGGATAAAGAGCGATTTTTAAATAAAGGAAGGAAGGTGAGCAACTGGGGAGTTTTGCACGAGACAAAGATGTTGGATGCCCTAAACTGCAGCGTGGTTTTTTTAGTTGTAAAAAGAAGTGTGGAGAGAAAATGGATGGAAGAGAAATATCGTTCAAAAAGGTGGTCAAATAGTACCAAATCAACTGTTAACGTGCTACGTTAGTTTTATGTCTCCTACAACAACCACTGTTAACATTAAGTGATTGATTTGTTATAAATCAATAATATTAGTGACCAATTTATTACTTTTAAAACTTCAGTACGGAAAACAAAAATTTACCATGTAATCTACCTAAGTCTTTAATATTTTATCAAGCTAAGTAAGAGTTATAAGTTATTTCCCCAAATATTTTAACAAAATTTTGAAATAGAAAAATATTGAAACAGTCTACACTTTTTGATAAAAAAAAAACTCCTTGAACCGTATTATTATAGAATCTTATTATATTTGATTCTAATAAAATTTACCAATTCAGTTTTCTATTAAATTATCAAATCAATTATCATTTTCTTAAAATTTTATCACCAAAGTTTTTGGAAAAAATCAAATATTATATTTTTTAAAAGTTAAAATGATCAATATACTAGATTGATTAAACTTAAATTTAATTTAAATTAATTTATTAATCATTACATTTGATTTTAATTTCTTTTTGAAGTTAAAAATAATTATAAACATAAATAATACATATCTAAGTAATTATTACGAGAATAAATTATTATAAGATACAATCAAACTAACAAATCATAATATATTTGAACAAAATTTAAACTATAAAATATACTGCAAATTGATTTATAATTTTTTCACAAAAAATAGAATAGAGCCATTATTACTACTTATTAAAACAGTCAAATATGAGGTTTTCATATTTTCTTTTTGGGTTGTTGTTAATTTGGGATTTAAAAGACAAATTTTATATTCAATTTCTTTCTCTAAGTGATATATATAAACAAAAGGATCATAAATAATATATTTATTTCTCTTTTAAGTATTTACATCTATAAGACAAAACAAAACGAAACAAGGCAAACGTTAGTAGTAATAGCCTGTAGGCATTGGAACAGGATAGCTCAAACCCAACCAACCTATTATTTTTATTATATATTCCTCTTTTAGGTTATTGAAAGGGTAAATTCTATGTTTAATGACTAATCTATTACTTTTGTTCCATTTTGGTCACTTAACTATTTTGTTTTAAAATCATACTTAATATTGTGTTTGAGTTTATTTTGGTCACTCACCTTTAAAAAATTAATAGCGACATTGACATATTATCATAAAGTAATACCATGCCATCAGTGAAAAAATTTTAAAAAAATGCTACGTTAATAATTCTATTTTTTTAACAATGAATAACCAAAATAAAACATAATGTATATGTATGATTTTGAAAGAAAAAAGGTGAGTAGCCAAAACAAAAGTAAAGTCATAGTTGAGATACTAAACTTGCGGTTTACCCTAATTTAAACTTAGTTTTCTCAAGAAAATTACAAAACACACACAAACCTCACTCCTTTCCATGCGAAAATAACGCTCGCTTCTCTTTTCCCCACTTCTTTTTATTTTGGTGTTCTTGTCTTTCTTTTAAGTTTTCAAAGTTTTTTCCATTTCTCAAATGCTCTGCATTTCTTTCTCATCTTTGGAAAATTGAAAATTTAAACTCTTTGCTTTTCCTTTTGTTTTGTGTGTTCAAGTCTTTTTTGTGTTGTTTGTAACTATTTGCAGTAAGTTTGAGTTGAATGTTTTGTGTTTGTTGTTAAAGTTAAACTGAAGAATCTGGGGTTATTAAATTCTGGTTCTTTACCGTTTAAATTCAGGGTTTTCTTCTCGTGTGTTTCATCTTCGTTTTGAATTCTCACATTCTTCTCCATATCAGCTATGGATTACTGTTTTCAGTTGGCTTCGCATTGCATGTCCTTCTCTTTGAGTACCGTTTATTTTAAGACCCATTTTCCAATCTGTGTTTATGTCATTTTGTGTTGCTTTTTTTTTCTTGGAGTTAAGTATTTTGCAGTTTAAAACAAAAGGGTATTTGTTTTCATGTAAATTCTACGGTTTTTCTCTTTTTTTTTGGGTAGATTTTAATTAATTTTGTTTTTTGAAAAAGAGCGGAAAATTGATGCTTTTGGATATTTTATAGTGAAGGGAGTGATATTTAGTCTTGGGAATCTACTGTAAAGATAACTTGCAAAATGGGATTAGTTCCAGGTGATATCCAGGCGGGGCCTTTGAATGTTGAGAAATCAAAAGGAAAAAAGAAGAAACATAGTGAAGATGGTGAACCTGGTTGTTGGATTAAGTTTAGGTTTATTGGGAACTGCTTGTCTCCAAGGACAACAATGGAGGGTTCTGCAAGTGAAACCAGCACTCCATATTGTATATAAATTTAAATAATTTCTTGCCCCCCCCCCACTGTTTTCGTAGTTTCTTTGTTTATGTTCATTGATTATATTCCTAGTTGATTTGTTTATGTAGGTTGATTATATGGCCTTTTTGTGTGGTTTCTTTGTTTATGTCCATTGATTATATTCCTAGTTGTTTTGTTTATGTAGATTGATTATATGGATTTTTCTTTGTAGTTTCTTTGTTTATCTCGATTGATTATATTCTTGTTAGAGATTGATTGATTATTTGACAATGGGGTATTCGTATGCTAAAGTGAAATCTATTGAATCTGCTAACTAGTAATTGGCTTTGCAGAAGAAACATAGTGAGATGGTGAACCTGGTTGTTGGATTAAGTTTAGGTTATTGGGAACTGCTTGTCTCCAAGGACAACAATGGAGGGTTCTGCAAGTGAAACCAGCACTCCATATTGTATATAAATTTAAATAATTTCTTGCCCCCCCCCACTGTTTTCGTAGTTTCTTTGTTTATGTTCATTGATTATATTCCTAGTTGATTTGTTTATGTAGGTTGATTATATGGCCTTTTTGTGTGGTTTCTTTGTTTATGTCCATTGATTATATTCCTAGTTGTTTTGTTTATGTAGATTGATTATATGGATTTTTCTTTGTAGTTTCTTTGTTTATCTCGATTGATTATATTCGTTGTTAGAGATTGATTGATTATTTGACAATGGGGTATTCGTATGCTAAAGTGAAATCTATTGAATCTGCTAACTAGTAATTGGCTTTGCTCAGGCTTATCTGATTAGTTTTTTCTTTTGTCGATCATTTGGCTTCCTAAGTGTATGCTGATATGCTAAACTGTATGCATTTTTCATCACATGTATGTTCGATGAGGATTTACTGTTGATCGATATGGTTTTATGCTTTAGGATTGATGTTATGTCCGTTTCGGTATTGATATCTGTGAGTTTCTCTTCCTTTACTACTTTACAATGATTGCTTTCTTGTTGTGCATTTTGCTTGTACTTTTCATTCTTTAGGTTTATCACCTTCTAGTTTCTTGTTTGTTTTCTAACGTAATGTTGTTTTTCCCTGTCGTTTCGCCTCCTAGTTACTCGCTGATATGTTTGCAGTATGCATTTTCTGCCACATGGATGTTCAATAAATCGTATATTGTTGATCGATTTGGTTCTATGCTTTAATTAGTAATTATGCCTGATTCAATGTTGATATTGATCTGAATCTCTTGCTGTACTACTGTTGCAGTAATTATATTCCATTTGTGCATATTTGATTGAAGGTAGTTTCACCGTCTACTACTTCATGATCACCGAGTTATCGCCTTGTGGATTATTATTTGTCGTCTAATGCATAATGAAATGCAAGTTTGATTGGTGACGACTTTGGTATTTCAGCCACGTGGTCATCCTCTCGGGTTTCCCCACTAGTTACGGACGTGTATAATGTGATAAGACACCAGGGTTCCTCTGTTTCTTTCCTATTATGATTAGTCATATCTGTTTATAAACATTTTGAATAACCATGTTCTTTGTGTGTGAAAATCTGTGTGATGTCTATAAATTCACTTCTTTATGACCTGGATGATCTAATTTTTTCACTGTTTCCTTGGAAATCAGCTGAAAGTAGATCAACGAATGCGTCAAATGACGCCACAAATAAGTCAAATGACACCAGCAGAGGTCAACCAGTTGTTCCAGTTGTGACATCTTCAACTACTACCAATGCCAGAAGTACTCCGTCTACTCCAAACTTAAGTGAGGAGCTTAAAGTTGCTTCTCAGCTTAGAAAATTCTCCTTTAATGAGCTTAAGTTATCAACGAGGAGTTTTAGACCCGAGAGTCTTCTTGGTGAAGGTGGGTTCGGTTGTGTATTCAAAGGTTGGATCAATGAGAGTGGAACTGCTCCGGTAAAACCAGGTACAGGGTTTCCTGTTGCAGTCAAAACCCTAAACCATAATGGACTTCAGGGTCATAGAGAATGGGTTGTAAGAATCTGTTTCTGTAATTTAGTATTTATTATCGGCATCTTTTATTAACACATAAGCTTGACTTATGCTTTGGTCTATTTTGAATGTGGCAGGCTGAAGTTAATTTTCTCGGTGACCTCCTCCATTCTAATTTGGTAAAGTTGATTGGTTTTTGCATCGAGGACGATCAAAGGCTACTTGTCTATGAGTTTATGCCTCGAGGAAGCTTGGAGAATCACCTTTTCCGAAGTATGTAATTAAACTCATTAATAGAGATTTATCAACTTGCTTTGCTCGTCTGCCTATAATTGGTAAAGATTCTAAGCTGATGGCCAACTCTATAGTCTATAAGTAGGAAATACCCGAGCATCCAAAAGAAGCGAGCTTATTGATATCAGGCAATAAAGATAAAAATGTATCTTTTTAAGATATTTTGATATTTTTGTGCTGGAATTTGCCCTTGATGTTGGACGCGAATTAAGTTATATAGTTGATTGTTATTATAATTCATAAACTGAATTAAGATATACAAAAGTTGGAGTAAGGATTGGTACTGGCATTCTTATTCTTCGTATCTTTAGTTTGTTGAACCTCAAATTAGCCAAGCATGGTACTGTGTTATAGAAGTTTTGGTCTCATTTTCAAACACTAGGAAGGAATATCGGTTTCAGTCATCGATAATATGGAGATCTATAAAAGCATTATTTTAAACATTCTGTTTTGGTTCACAATTATCGATAACATGGAGATCTATAAAAGCATTATTTTAAACATTCTGTTTTGGTTCACAATTACGAGCTGCTAGTGAAATAGTGATGGTTTGTTCGGATTTAGTTTAATGGCATTCATTTTATCAGGGTCCATGCCTCTTCCTTGGTCTATCCGAATGAAAATTGCACTCGATGCTGCGAAGGGTCTTGCTTTTCTTCATGAGGAGGCTGAACGGCCAGTCATATATCGTGACTTTAAAACATCGAATATACTGTTAGATGCGGTGTGTGACTAATATGGTATAAATAATATTTTGATGTTCTATAACTTGTATCATCCATCTTCTGAAATATTTTTGAAATCTTCTCCAGGATTACAATGCCAAACTTTCCGACTTTGGACTTGCCAAAGATGGTCCGGAGGGAGACAAGACTCATGTATCTACTCGAGTGATGGGAACCTACGGCTATGCGGCACCTGAGTATGTTATGACAGGTAAATATGATTGGACATTTTTTTAATATAATTTGACAAATATCGACGCTATTATGACAACTTATCGATCTTGTAAACATTAACAAAACTATTAGGTTCTATGAGGTGAGTATGCAACTAAGGTTTGTTTTCCTTGTAAAATGAATGGAACGATGGCGCCATATTTTTCCAGGGCATCTTACTTCGAAGAGTGACGTCTATAGCTTTGGGGTGGTTCTCCTTGAGATGTTGACAGGCCGAAGATCCATGGACAAAACCCTACCAAATGGGGAGCATAACCTGGTGGAATGGGCTCGTCCGTACCTTGCTGAGAGACGGAGATTTTATCAACTTATTGATCCCTATCTTCAAGGACAGTTTTCAATAAAAGGTGCTCAGAGAGCTATTCAAATGGCAGACCATTGCCTTAGTCGAGATCCAAAATCCAGACCTTTGATGAGTGAAGTTGTTGAAGCCTTAAAGCCTCTGCCAAATCTCAAGGATATGGCTTGTTCCACTTCTCAGTTCGAAGCCATCCAAATTGAGCGAATGGCATCGTCTTCAAAATCTAGAACCGGAAATAGAGTGCCGGTCGCCTCGTCTACAAGGAATGGACAACATGCAAGGAGCCCCCTAACTCCAAATGGTCCGCAAATCTCCCCGTTTAATAACCATCTTTACCGGTCACCGAAACCTAATGCTGGCAAACCTCAGCATTAAGTTTATGCTTAACCCTGGCTCTGGTTTAGTTCATTTACATGTTTTTGATCTGGGGATACAAGTAAATCGTTGTTAAAGTCAAACATTTTCTTTGTCCAACAGGAATGTGATCAAATAGAACAAACTCCTGGGAAAAAAGAAACAATGTTTTGGGAATAAAAGAAAATTGGTTTCCTGTTCTTTGCTTATTAAGTTTGCCATTTTGCATTATGCCATTATCCGTTCTTGAGAATAAAATTGTTACATTTAAAGCCTGCAATACATAATTTTTTCAAGTTTCTCGAGATTGAATGAACACAAGCACGATGCTGGGTTTTTCCCTTGAGACAACGCTATAACGTGCTTGTAATCTTTTCCGGGATAAACAATAGTCTAAGGGAAATTGGGATGATTGACGGGATCCGGAAAAGCTTGAGTCTCCAAACACAAAGCTGCATGAGGTTGATAAACATATCCACCTTTGCCTTTCTCGTCTTTCAGGCCATTAGCTGTATAAAATTGAACACCAGGTTGATCGCTAAACAACTCCATCACTCTCCCAGATTTCTTTAGCTTGCCTGGAACACCATCCATGGCATAGTTGATATCGTATCCGTTTGCAAGTTTGTTGATTTGGCTTCCCACGGTACGGGGTTTGAGGAAATCATAAGAGATCCTTTTACGGTGGTGATTTCGCCAGTGGGAATGAGTTGGCTGTCGACTGGAGTGTAACGGGAAGCGAAAAGCTGGAGTTGTTCCGATAAGATGTCGCCGCTATTGTGGTTGCAGAGATTCCAATACGTGTGTTGGGCTAGGTTAACCGTTGTAGCCTTGTTTAGAGGTTTGGCTTTCATCTCCACAGTCAGCGTGTTGCCTGGGTGAAAAGTGTAGGCTACACTTGCTTTGACTGCACCAGGAAATCCTGTCGATTATACAAAGAAATCAAATATCAGTTTTTCCTAATCAATGAAGTAGTAGTCCGAAATGATTATAAAATAATACAAAACATGTCGTAATCTTAAAATCAAGAAAGAGTGGACCGACCTTCATCACCGTCGTAGCTGTGATAGGCAAACACAATGGAAGGAGCATAACCATATTTCTTGTACTCCTTTACTTTCCATACAACATCACTAAATCCAACAGGACCACCTAATGATGATAATAATTTTAAAGTTAGAAAATTCAAAGCATTGCTAAATGTGAGTAATTAAGATGAGAAATTAAGGATTAATGTACCATGGAGGATGTTTTTGCATTCATTAGGGACCAATTTGTAACGGACTCCGTTCAAAGTAAATTGAGCCCCAGGTCAATCCAAAATAGCAGGAAGTGGTCTGAACTCCCTTTAATTTAGAATTTTTTTATACTAATTTTTTGACAAATTATATCTGTATTCCAATCTCGATTAAGAAAATACTTCGATCGTGCAGCAATCTAATTATGAATAATTCAATGCATCAAAGACCAAAATTACAGGTAGGCGTTCTATAGACAGATTTTTCAAACTATTAAAATAGAAAACAAAGAAGACAAATTATGTATTTAATCACCTATTTATTTTTATAATTTTATTTTCATCATTCAATTATTATTATTTTAAAATTATATTTAATATCTATTTCACTTACCTACGGTTAGAATTAAATAAAACTGTCAATGCAATATTTTTTATTTTTTGATAATGACATGATATTATTTTATAATGACAAATAGTTAATTTTTTTACGACGGATTACTAAAACAAAATTAAAACGTGATGTTACGTATAAATTTAAATAACGAATAGTTATATTACTAAATATTGAGTTTATTCAAAACAATATTATATAGAAAGAATAGTCCGAACTCAAAACAAAACTACGACAATAGTTAAATATCAATATTTATAGGACAAATCCAGCTCTTTCGTAAACATATATTTGTATTTATATGATCCACGTGTAGTTTATACAATAATATTAATAATGTAAAATCAGAGACCGACAGTATTAGGTTCTAGGGGAATGGTCCCAAAAGTTTAAGTAAATTTGTGCAAGTCTTTTAAATTTTAAATTTTTTATTAAATCCTCGAAATCTTCAGAAAAAAATATATTACTTTATAATAATTTAAAAATTCTCTGAAATTTTTAAAAATACCCATCAAGTCCTTTGAAAAAAATAAGTAGACCCTAAAACTATTTTCTTAAGATCTACTATAGGCTAAAATGAAAAAAAAATATATATATAAACTATGTAAGACAAATTATAATTTTAAAAGATCTGAGAAAAAACACATTTACTAAAACTGTAGAATTAAAAAATAAAAGTCTGTCCAATGGATTAAACGGCTCAGATTTTGCAAAGCAAAAACATGGATGAGAATTTCTGGTAAGACAGAACAAAGGGAAAGCAGAAAATGGGTGAAAATAAAGAGACAAGAATATTTACCATATACTCCTTGACTGAATCATATCCCTAGACAATATCACCCAGTTTACCTGAAATTTATCACCAAAAAACGGAGAAAATACTCTTGAAATAAGTGATGAATAAAAAACCAAAACTTGAAAAAGAGATCTCCACTGGTTACAGCTTGAAGTTGTCAACTATTGGAGAGGAAATCAAAGCCCAAAGGGGCTCAAGTTTAAGAGAGACGAACCATATTTGTCAGGGAGGATGAGAGAAACAATAGTTGCTCCCCAGTTGGTGAATTTAACAGACAAATCACCTTTCTTCAGCTCATATACCCCAACCTTCTCCTTTGCTTCAGACCCGTTGATAATTGCAGAAGCTACTATCATGAACAAAGAAAGCAACAAGAAACATATCTTAGCCATGTTCTGAAACTGGAACTGGAACTGGACTGATGAATTCTTATAGGAACAATAGGAGGGAGTTGAAGTCTTTGTATAAGACCAAGATGATTGAGAACAAAACAAGAGTTATAATATATTATCCAAATAAAGACAGAGAATGGTCTGCAATTGCCTCTGGCATACCTCTTTTGGCTTGGTGCTAGGCTCAGTTTTTCATCCAGGGTGTCCCCACCTGAGTTGGATACGTAAAATCAAAGTTTCCACATTGTGGACTTGAGAAACCAAGTGTTTGTTTTTGCTTCATCGTGGTTTAGGGTCCTTAATTAGCAATGAACTACACATATGGTGACTTGGTGAGTTAGTAACCAATAGATACCACCATTATATTGAATTGAAATGGTAGGATTCTTTTTTCAAGTATAACGACAATCGAAAATGAGCTTGAAATGCATAAAGAGCAGGCAATTTAAGAAACTGGGATACCATCATTAATTAAAAGCCAAGTTGAATCAGATAATTTTGAACAATGGGTTATATGCATGTAGTTATCTAAGTTTCTGCTGAATATACGTGACGTTATGAAATGACAAGCATGAAGCCAGTAGATGTTGTAAATGCGCATTTTTATTTGGGTCAAATTCTTTTATTATATAAAAGTCGTAGATGGTCAAACGGAGATTATTCAAAGCATTTTTATTTTTAAGCTTGGAGTATTTTGCGTTTTTTATGAATGACTAAAATTTCATTACCCAAAGAAAGCAGTGTTATGCTACAATAGAACCAAAACAAACAATAGCCTAAAAGAAACTAAACAAAAACAGCCCTGTACAACCAATCTCCAATCAAAGTAGAGTTCAGCTACAAACTGAACCAAACAATACTATACAACCAATCCCCCAAACAAGAATACAAGCAGTAGAGGAAAACAAGCTAAACGACCAAAATAAACAATCACATCAACAAGCAGTAACAATCAACTACTGGTTCACCCAATATCACCCAATACCCCAATTCCTACAAGCCACAAAATTACTCTCTGCTCCCTTTATTGTCACTCCCATTAGGCTATTCTTATCTTGATAACCACCTTCCCACACTACTCCCTATCCCACCAAAAACCTGCAATTCCTTTCGCCCACACCCGGTAAATGTAAGTATTTCAAGCAAGCCTAAGCAAAGTAGAAAAGAAAGACCTACCCTTAATCTCTGCCACAGCCCATGCTACCCCCTGCCTCCAGCTTCCAACAGACCTTGAGATATGGCATATTTGCAAAACGCCAACCCATACTTCTTTAGAAAACTCACAACTGAAGAACAAGTGATCCCTTGTTTCCATATCCTCCGAGCAGAGGACACAACCGCTCACAACATCCAGTCCCCAATTCGACAAATGATCCCTAGTAGGTAACTGTTATGTTTGGCTTGAAATCAAATTTGGCAAGTTGGAAAATTCATCTTGGTTGATGGCCAACTTATTAGAAATTTCATCTTGGTTGGTGACCAACTTATTGAAAAATTTATCTTTGGTAGGTGACCAACTTTGCACATGGGAATTTCATCTTTGGTCCAATAAAATATTAGGTTAGTTATAAGTTTAGTCCTTAAAACTCAACTTTAAATAGGCCTAAGTATTTCCATTAGAAATCATCCCAAAATAAGTTCTCTATTCCATTTGTTTTCTTCATTCTCTCACTTTGGGAATTCTAAAGAATTCCATTTGTTGTAATATTTGTTGATAGTTAAGTTATCGTTCGGTGTGGTGCTCGAGGAGTAGACGATATTCTCGTAGAACCTCGTAAATTTGATGTGTTCTCTCCTTTATTATTTTTTATTCAGTTTTTCCATTGTGTTTCAATAATCAATAGTTTGACGGGTTTATCCACTGTGCAACCTTTGGTGGTTTTGATCTTGACATTTTAGGTCAATTTTGAAACTACGTTTGTGTGGGAAATAGCCCGGTTTCCCCAACAATTGGTATCAGAGCTTCAATTGAGGTTATCTTAGTAGTCCCGTTGCTAAAAAGATACAATTCGTGCTATTGAATATTGTTCGTTAGAATTAAAATGCAAAAATACAGATCAGTTGAGACATCAAGCTCTTCATATGGACCGGTGAGGAGGATAATATCAAATGCAAATTTCTCGGTGGAGTTGTTCGATGAATCTGGTCATTTTGGCATGTGGCAAGACGAGGTGTTAGACGCTTTATTCCAACAAGGCGAGACTTCTACAAGTAAGATGTGAAAGCATTGGAGGAAAAATTCCTAAAGAAAAGCTCTCATAATTGTCTCCACATGAAGAAAAGATTATTCAAATTTGATTATCAACCAGGCACAGTATGAATGAACACATCACTGCGTTCAATGAGCTAATGGCAGACTTATTAGGCATGGATAAAACCTTCAAAGAT